CCGACGCTTAAGCGCCGGATCTGGCGCTTAGGTGTCAAAACTCTTTTGCACAAATTTTCATTTTTTGCTCCAAATTTGATTCATTTTCACTCCTTTAAGCATTTTTTTTCCATTTTTACTTGTATCTGCAAGAAAAACACAAAAATACCTTCCATTAAAGTGTAATATCTCAAAAATAGGTATAAAAATGTGTCTAAAAATACTATATATTTTAGGTGTATCACCTAGCCCGTCTTCAGAACTATTCAAACTTTAGATTAACTAATGTTCTTTATAGTATCTCTAGTAACGGTAAAGAATATAATTTCTCCTATTTTTCATAGTCTCTCTCAGTACTTGTTTTACTTTTACACATGTTACTACTTTCATTGCATGAGGAAGAGTACTTTTAATATATTAAAAATCCCACTTTTTGATTTTCACTAAGTATTTTAATTTAGAAGTAGAAGTAGTAATGTAGTGATAATTGTAGGAAAAAATCAAAACCAAATTTTTATCGATCTTCCAAGCTAGGGCGTGTTATTCTAAACTTGAATTTCTCTTGAAAGTCGCCGTGATTAACCTCGATCTCTGTGGGATCGATATTCGAGGCTTAATCAGAAAATCCTATATTACTTGATAATATACTTGCATAGAATCCCTAGAAATATAATTGAAGTCTTACTTTGCTTGGGATCAAGTTTTCGGTGTCATTACTGGGGATTAAAATCTTCAAGTAGTGGAGTCAACTTCTTAAATTCTACATATAAGAAAGAATATCGGGACCATCCTCTCAAGCTTGATTTAGCCTTAGATTTAACTTATATGTTAGGCCACCTCCTTTATCTTGAGATCTAGTGATGGGACCACCCCCATGTACCACATCACCACATTCCTTATCTTTTACTTAATAGATTAGACTTATGGGTTAATGTTGAGAAAATGATAGGCTACACCAAGGTTCGCTCCTAACATGCCATATGTTGTCTAATAAAACTCATTCCAATATTCTCCTAAGATAAAAATTAGGTTACCTTTCAATTCAATGATAAAGTAAGAGAAAACTTGAAAAGGCTCCTTTTGTTCATTCTTCAAATGCGGGGACTTCTTGAATAACTTTTGTCACTTCCAACTTCCTTCTATTTTGTGTGATGAGCTGTAAGAAATATTCTTGCATGCTTTTTATAGCCTTCAAATATTAATTTCTTGATTATTCCAAATCTTCTCTTATATTTATCATTTCTCCTCCTCTAGGGAATTTCATCCCATGCGGTATGTAGAAACCATGGCCTACAAGGTATTTCAGATAGGAATTCTAAAGATTAAGCTATAAGTATTGAGATCAAGAACTATCATAAAAGTTTCCATTACTCTAAACTGCTTCTCCTCTTATTTATGCTTCACTAATAAGGAACTGAATTTACATGTCTTCTTCCTCTCTCCCAAAAACCCATACAACAATCTTCGGGTTAACAACTTATGTAAGTTCCACATATTATCCTATACCTCATATAAAAAAACATTAATTATTCTACATTATCAATCAGATGCTTCCAATCTGGTTATTAAAATCTAATTTGGTAACCACTATAACATCTTAGTAAGGTTTTTCATTTACTAGTAAATCTTCGTAACTAAAGATATTTGGGGATTATGATGCTATTAAAGACCTCCAGGCAATTATAAAGTTCACCTCTCTTGACTTATGTCATTTAAGGATAGACTAGCGAGAGCTCAAGTCCATCTTCTTCTAAATAGCTGGCACAATACAAGCAATATGGACAACTTACATCGATATGAGCTTGTTTTAAACTTTTTTTGAGGGCACCTTTCCTTGCCTTCTAGTATTTGCATCGAATGTTATAAATTAGTTCAACTTTTCCTCTTTGATTAGCTCTTCGATCAGGTTTCAAAGGTGTCAAAATTTCTTATCATGCACCATGATCTTTATGGTACACACAATACTTATTTGAGCTGTGAAGGTTGAGACTTGCTCTAATTTGCATCGATTTCTTAAAATAATGTTTATTTTGGATGGACTCGACAACCTCCGTTATTGAAATTCTTAATAGAATTATTGTAGGTAAATGGTTGGGAGGGTTAGATCATCTTACTTGTCTTCTTTCCATTGATATTTCCTTGATTCGACCTCTAGGGCGATTTCTTCTCTTCACAAAAATTCTTCGCAGACCTCTCCAACTAAAGTGACTTTCATGTCCTTTCTGTGTCTCATGATGAAATGTTCCAAACTAGTTTATCTGCTACTATTATTTGGTTTTAAAAAAAATTGATAGGGAGTTTTACTCGTCAGTATACAAGTGATTGTTTCCAGCTCAGATGGTCTATCTAAAGTTTCCAGATGTAGTTGGACAAATGCATATTTTAACAGACCTTCTCTTTTGCCTTGTGCTAGGACAACATGAGTGACCAATGGCTTAACTGCTCAACCTCTTGTAATTATTATTGTAAATAAGTGATGAACCTCCTAAAACTCTCCTAGGTCTCTTGACAAAGTCTCACAAGGCCTGTGAGATCTTCTTTGACTTGTGCACACTAACGAATTGCATATTAAAGAAGTTTTTGAACTCCGTGTAAGATGTGATGGTTCCTATGGGCGAACTGCTAAACCGATGGAGATCTAATTCTTTTAGGATCATAAAAGCAACTTACATTCCAAAGCATCATTAAATCTCAACAGGCATGTCTCCAACTTGAAGATGCCACTTGGTTTGCATGGCCTAACCTTCTTGATTTGATTCTAAAGGGGGAATCTTGGGCTTTTTTGGTATCTAAGCATCTGTAATTTTACTTGACAAGTGTTTTCTAGTGATTCATTTTTTTTTTATTTTCTCCTTCTCTCTTCATCTCCTTTACACTACCTGAAAGTGTTTACTCTTCCTGATTGGGTAATAAGTCATACCGTCTTCCTCCATGGGAGTTAATGGCAAAACCCTCATGGCTCTAACTATTGCCAACTCATCTGTATGAAGTGCAGATTCGAACAATCTAGATGGCATCTAGACCTTAGGCGTAACTCTAGTTACATGCTTCAATACCTCCCAAATCATCACCATCATCTGATCTCTTAACATGTTCATCTACTAGACTATGAACCCTTGTGTGCAATCCATGTTGATCGAAGCTTCCCATGCATATGTTTCGTTTACATGTAAAGCTTCTCATATGATTTGTGACAAGATCCACACTCAATGCACCCTAGATGATGCTAAATCCTGAAATGCTCGTGTCCTTGCACCAACCAGACGGAGCTTGTTTGAGAGAAAGAAGCAAAGAAGTTGATTCTTGTTAGATCAAGAGCACCAAAGCGAGAGAGAGCAAGGGAGTGTGAGTCCTTCCTCTTTTTCTAAGTAGGGCACATCTTACGTATAGACTCCACACCATATTTAGGCTAGAGGGCTGCTACAAAAATAATCATATAAAAGACAAGACTTTGACAACACATGTCATTATGAGATTTTGGATAGTTTGTGCTGTTGCAAAAGCACTATGTTTGTTGATGAGAACTCATTTTTCCTATCAAGCATGTGGAAATTGAGACTCCGTTGAGTTGAGGCTAGGTGACGGAGATTGCCTTTTATGTCCTCGGACCCGTAGACATTTATTTATATGCAAATATTTATTTTAATGGGAGTGTAATATATATTACTTAATTTAGCATACATATTACAATTATTTAAATAAATTTAATAATTTTAAAATTTACCCTAATTACAATTTTTATCAGAAACACTCATCTGAATTTTTAAATTGAAATAAAGCTCTGTTAATGCTTGATGTAGAATTAACAAGTTCAGTTAGATAACATAAGCCTCGTTTATAAACCTTGATCAATTGACATCTATCTCACTTGTTAAACTTGAAAAAGCTCAAAACAAAAAATTATTATTTTTTTCAAGAAACAACTCATTTAAAATTTATTAATCACTACATGAAAAAAATTTAAATATAGCTTAAAAATCAAACTTCGATCAACCTATTAATAAATATATTAGAATTTAGATACCACAATAAAAACTCAATCGATAATTTAGGTGCGGTGGCTATTACAAAACTCTTTTTTTTTTTAGAAAAGCCAGACCGTTGTGAGAAAGTTGTCATTGCACCTAGATAGGTGCGGCGTGAAAATGCTGTTTTCGGCGTTTTGAAAAAGCATAAGCTGCCAAAACACAGTTTACCTAAACAGACCAAGTGTGTTTTCAAAATACCACCGCACCGAATAAGCTGCCCCAAACAGACCTTAAATCAAACTTCGATCAACCTATTAATAAATATATTAGAATTTAGATACCACAATAAAAACTCAGATCTAACGGAAACTAAAAACAAACTTTTTGATAAATGAGAACTTTCGGACACTTCTCACCTCAATTCAAGAAGTGCCGCGCTAAACCTTTGTCATTAAAAAATAAAATACTGCATTTATATGTCACCATTCTCGATAAGCTTTTCTTGACCAGATTCAATGGCAGTGAGTAATGGGATTTCGTCTCTTTCCACTTTATAAGAACCTCTCAATTAAATTACAGGCAATGCGGTTTGTTTGGCTGTTGATGTTATTTACTTTATAGAACTCTCATTTTAAAATTAATACTTGATGTATATTTAATTTTTGAGAAGCTGAAAAAAGGAGAGAAATCCGAACAATTATTTAAAAATTAATAATTAAAACATATTTCAAATTTTAAAAAAAAACCACTCTTTCAATTTTTTTTTTTTTTGAGCTTCAATTACGAGGCTTGAGGAAACGCCATCCCACAAAAAAAGCAACAGAGCAGTCTGATACTTCCAAAATTTAAATACTAATCATATAAAATATTTAATGCTTCCAAAATAACAAGAGAATTGAAGAAGCCTTTTGATGTCCTTATCCCACCTTCAAGCTCGGCAAACTGGAGCACGCTGGTTAAACCGAATCTTTGTGGAGAGGTAGAGAGAGATTTATCAAAAACCCTAGTGTACCCGTAGCCCTAACCATCTTCTACGTGACAACCCGCGAACTACCTACAAGGCAGGCACGCTTGATCTATTTCATCAGTGGAACAGCGGAGAATGAGTTACTGGGAGGCCTAGCAATTCTCCATTTTCCTTGCTATGCCATGCCATCTCCCTCTACTCTCATTCTGGATGTTCGTCAGCAAAACCCTGATTTTAATGTCAAATTTAACTAGGATCCTTAGCAGCAGTCTTCACCATTGTGCAGCTCATCTGTTTTGTTGCCTTGTTACCTTCTTCCGATTACATTCCAGCAAGAAGGTTGTGTTCAACCCAATACAAGCTGTTTAAATTTCATGCTCTTCTTCAATGACCGATTTCTTATAAGCCTTAATCATTCACATTAGGGGAGAAAGAGGGAAGATATTGAGAGAGAGAGAGAGGGAGAGGGAGAGGTTTTTTAGCTAAAATCCTAGCTATCCTTCTTTTTCTTTCCCGCTCTGCCTTCTTCACCACAAGCTATGGCGGATACCTAGTTTTTAATCAAGCAATTGACTTAATGGATGCTTGATTACTCACTTGAATCAAACCCACTTCCAAAAACCTCTGCTTTGAACATGAGGCATGTAAAATCTTTTATTGGTCTCTATATTGTTTTTCAGTTGAGGATCCGCGGGTACATACCAGCGTAGCCCCATCTTTTTCTTCCTTCTTTTTTTAACTACTACTCATTTTTGCTTACAAACCCTTAGCTCCCCACTTGTTTTTTCATGAAGTCGGTTATCTTCCTTCGATTTTCAATCCCTCGACAAAAAATCCATTTTTAAAAAGCTCCCCTTTCAGCGAGGCTCAGAAAATTTTTAGGCGCATTCTTCGTAATTTCCCCTTTGTCAATGAGCTGGACTTTCCTCAATGTTGTGGGGATGCTCAGTTTCGGATTTAGCAGCCAAGTTTGCCTTCTTTCCACCACATCCACCAACCTATGGCATCAGGAATGATGAAGCTTGTGGAGGGAAGCTGTTGGTTACTGGCATTCCCAGGGACCCCTCCATGGATGTGCTAATGGTCGACAACAGAAGAGGGAATAAGATTGTTGCATTCTATTTCAGAAATCCATATGCAAGGCTCACAGTCCTTTACTCCCATGGCAATGCTACTGATCTTGGACAGCTCTATGAACTCTTTGCTCAGCTCAAGGTCAATCTCAGGGTTAATTTGATGGGGTTAGTGGTTTCTATATGGTAGTTTATGGATTTGATTGTTTAGCATACACATGCCATTATGTTTGCCCAATTACCAATTTGGCTGGCTTTTGAAATGACTTTATGCTTGTAAAATTGGCAAAATGGTTTATATTTTCTTTCTGCTTTGTTCTGCAAAGCTGAGTTATCTTTTGCAAAAATCACTTTGGCAACAATCCTGGTTGAAAATAATTAAAATTGTTGGTTATTCATCAGCAATACATGCGGTTTATTTAATCCCATTGGCAAAGGTATTATTATTAATCCTGATAAACTCAACAGATGTTCAATTTGTGAAGGCCAGTTCTTGTTTTAGTTAAAAATTACATATTTTCTTAATTTCTTAATTTTTCTTAATTTCTTAATTTTCAGCGAAATAGACGTGCACCACTAATCTAGATATGCATGAAAGTTTCTCATAGAATGGCAATTTCATTTCTGAAATCAACACTTTTGTGACACATGATATTTTTGATATAAAATTGGAGTAAAAACTAGAAGTTATGTTTAATGAACTTGTTAGGGTTAAATGATAATCAGGAGCACATGGAGCATTTTTTCCATCATTTTCATCAGTATGCAATTTACTTTTCCACAATGCCGCTTATTGTAGTCCATGAGAAATATACAACTGTAATTTAATGCACAAATGTCTTTTATGCTATTTATTTTCTTTCTTTATTTCTAAATCAAGTTTTTCCATGGTTAAGAGCAAGTTGTAATTCCAGAATGCAACAAGCTTCAACCTGGCATGTTTAAAGTAATGGTAATAGTCTTTTATATTATATGGGCAAATGCAAGCTTGTGTTTTTATTTTTTATAACCAACAAAAAAACGGTAACATTAAAATCTATTGATTTTTTCACCGTTACTGAGTTTGTCATATTCATGGCTTCTACATTGTTTTTTGAATCAGAATTGACCTGTCTGACTTTCTATCCTGAAAGCAATTTTGAAGAAATAAAAAAAGCTCTTTCTTTTTTATTGGCATTACACTTGCTGCGTGTTATGCTCATCATCAGCTTCATTAGCCTTCCTAAAATAAATAATCAGGTTTTTTGATCTTACAATTATCGTATTTTGTTAAGCATTTTTTGGCATATTTGTTTATAAATTGTATAGAGTTCCAAATGGCTGTAGTGTTCTGAAATGAATGAAACTTGAGAAGGTTGGGTGAGTTTTTGTCTGCCATTGATTTAAAAAAGATTTATGTAGCTATATAAATATAGAAGTCTTACTTTTAAATTATGTAACAATCATGAATATTTTAAACCTTTCTGTTCTTTTTCACTTTAAATTCTAGTTCCATCACTACTTGAAGATTATGCTTGGATTTTGAGAATCTGACAAAAACAACAACAACAAGCCTTTATCTATATGAATCCTTTTTCTCCATTGTGTTCTATAGATTGTCATGTTTTCATTTAATTCTAATAAATCAAGGTCATTTTTTATTTTTCTCCATTGTATTCTATAGATTGTCATGTTTTCGTTTAATTCTAATAAATCAAGATCATTTTTTATACAGCATGTCCAAGTCTTTTTAGGTCTACATCTGTCTTTCTTAGCATAAGTTAAATCTAAAACATCTACTCTTCGAAATAGGGTCATCAAATGGTCAATGCTTAATGTCCTTTCTTAGCATAAGTTAAATCTAAAACATCTACTTATCGAAATAGGGTCATCAAATGGTCAATGCTTAATGTGACTAATCCATCAGGCGACTCTCTAATCTTGTTTGCCATTGGAGCTAAATCCAACCCTTTCGTGGATATATTCATTTCACATTGTCTCTCAGTGCTACAACACTCATCTACTTGAGCATTCTCATCTCAACAATACTTAACTTAATTTTATGCTTCTCCTTTACATATCAACATTATATGCCATAAGGCATTGCGGATCTCACTATCATCTTATAAAATTTTCCTTTAAGTCTAAGTTGTAATTTTTTATCACACAATAAGCCCAACGCGTTCTTCCACTTCAACCATCCCACTTGAATTCCATTAATAACTATGGGTGTAAACGAGCTGAACATGAGAGAGCTCAGAGTTCGTTCGTGTTAGGCTCATTTGAAACATTTGTGTTCAAAATGAGCTCATGTTCGAAACAGCTCGTGAAAAGCCTCGTTCATGTTCATTTTGATTAAATTCAAATTAACTCGTATTCTACTCGAATTGAACTTCTCAAACGTAAACTTAAATATTTAATTTATTTCACCTCGTATAGCTCCAATTTTATTTATTATTAAATATTTCTCAAAATATGAGAAATCAGAAATAATAATATTTTTATTTTTACATATTTCCCAAGATATTGGAAATCTGAAAATTTTTATTATTAAACATTTCAGCTCATTTCAGCTATACCCTGAGTCAGTCACGCACAGACACACAACCACTCAGCTGCTCTAGTGCCTCATCCAAACCGGAGGTTCATCATTTAAACATCATGAGATTTTTTTTTTTTTTTTGTGAATGTACGATGTGGGATTAAGTTAGTGAGGTGGAGGCGTTGAGTAGAGGGAATATTTTTGGGCATTTACGTACATATCATGCAATTATTTTGTATATTTATATATGAAACAATTTTTTTTTTATGTTTGATGTTCCCCACAGTGGGCGGGGGCCGAACCCAAATTTATTAAGGCATTTGCATATATGCCAATATTCCACATAATTCTTATGTATTTATATATTCAATATAAGAATTTTATTTTTCATTTTAAATACTAAATAAAATTAATTAAAATCTGATAAACTTTAATATTTTTTTAAATATAATATATAAATTTAATATAAAACTAGTACACTAACACTATTTGTTTTTTATTTAATTAATTCAAGCGAAATCGAGTCTAACACGAACGAGCAAGCATTTGTTCTTGTTTGACTTGTTTATAAATCTAGCTAAAAAAATTGTTCGTGTTTGGCTCGTTCTTAACGAACGAATCGAACACGAGCTACTTAGCGAGCTGAACACCAGCTGTTCGCGAATAAAGAAATTTTTTGACAGCCTTACTAATAAAATCTCCATCTAAATCATCATCACTTTAAACTATAGACACAAGATATCTAAAATGTTTATTCCTTTCAATGACTTGATCACCAATTGTTACATATACTATTACTAAAATTACATTCCATGTTTTTAGTTTTAGATCTACTCAAACAAAAATCCTTAAACTCCAAAGTTGACCTCCATGATTCAAAATTTTCCTGAGCCCTCTTTAGTTTTATCCACATGAATGATATAATCAACAAAAAACACACTAAGACACATCATCCTGTAAATATCTAGTAAGAGCATCCATAACTAAAACAAAATGATATCGTGCTTAAAGCCAATCCCTAATGTAATCCAACTCAAATAGGAAAATACTTGGTCAGCCCTCTGTGTTTGAAAACAAGTAACATCTCTAGTTTACTTATCTTTAATGACTTGAATATTAATATTTTTTTCAAGAACTCTCAAAAGTACTTCTCTTGGAACTTTATCATAAGCCTTTTCTTTATCAACAAAAATCATTTGTACTTTCTATACTTTTCCGTCAAATCTCACATTAAACATATAGTTTCCATGGTAGACTTGCCCGACATGAAACCTTATCAACAAAAATCATTTGTAATTTCTATACTTTTCCGTCAAATCTCACATTAAACGTATAGTTTCCATGGTAGACTTGCCCGACATGAAACCAAACTGATTTTGAGAAATTCTTGTATTACGTCGTAACCAATGTTCAATTGCGCTTAATATATGACACATTAACTTAATTCATCTATAATTTGCACACTATTGTGTATCCTTTTCATTCTTAGAAATATGAACCAATAGACTCATTTTAGACTAAGACGTCTTTTTAATTTTTAAGATAATATTAAAAAGTTTAGCAAAATAAGGAATTTTGAAATCTCCTAAATATTTTTACACTTCTATTGGAATATTATCAGGTTCTACTACTTTTCCACATTTCATTTCTTTAATTCTTCCAACTTCTATTTTACTAATTTCAGTGAAATTAAAAAAAAAAAAAAGGTTTGAAAAACTCAAATCAATGACTACAAATTTATAATCAATAAAAGAAGTACTTTGGGTTCCACTTCATTCATTTCATTTTTATTGGTTCCAATCAAAACCTATGAGTTTGAATGCGATGGCTCTTTGTAATGGGTATGAATTTTACTCGAAAGTTTTCCTTAGACAAAAGGAAAGATAAAAGCATGATGCCCGATTGATACTTGTGATGTCCTAAATGCTATGAAGCACCGACAATCATGCAAGTATACTTTTCAATCAAGTTGTATGGGAAATTAGAGTATGCGTATCAATTCCAGGAGTTGCTATTTTAATTTCTATTTAAGTCAAAGTTCTAGCTTACTAATTGTCTGCTTAGCTTGAAAGATTGAAGATTAAGTGAATTTCAAAGTTACTAATCATAAATCTTACCCAAAAAAATGATCTAAGTTAATACTGAGATAATTGTGAGGTTTTCTATCACTTGAATGATTCCTCTCCAAATTGGAACTTGGAAATTTAGGCTTAACCATATGATGAAATTGTGGGTGACAATCAGGAATAGATTCTCTCGTTACTCTCTCCCCGATTTTTAAGAAGGTTTTGAATATAAATAGGTTTAGTTTCCTAGATCAAATGATTTTTCCGAATTCTAAATTTTTTTCAACAATTACATTAACTTAAATGCAATATCCTTATTTTTCCAAGTCAGTGTGAGTTAACATAACTGTTTCACTTGCTTGTTTCCACACAACTCGATCACAATACTTTAACTAATTAATTGGTCACTGAAAATCAATGAAGAGTAGAACTTTAAAACATCACTACAACGTAATTTAATTTTAATCACAATATAAAAGTTAAACACAAGATTCTCCAATACCAATTCAAAGGAGAAAATAAAATCTACTCACTACTCATTCCTTGAAACAACAAAACATACATTCATCAAAGCAATTAAAAGACAAAATTTAGGCTTCCTTCCTCCTCCTAGAGTTTTAGTGGATTTACATGAGCAAATTACAAAAAAATCCCTTACAGTCCCCCTCACAATTGTTTTTCCACACTTAAGCAAGTTTAGAGCCTTTATCCTTCACCACATATCTCCTGAATGGTTCGACATTCACAAATCTAACTCTTCCCTTGCAAAAGGATGTATGTGAACCTTCAAAACTATCAATAAGTGTGACTGGACAACTAGGGTATATTGTAGTGCCTGGGTACTACGAATCTAATGCTCCTTTTCTAAGCCCTCTGTAATTAAAACACTGTCAAATTAGGGCTTCGAGTGCCTAGGCTCTAGATTGGCGCTTGGGCACTACAAGGCCAGCGCCCATTTTTGGGGTCCTTTGTCTTTGGCTGGCTTGAATCCAAGATTTTGGGCGTCTGGGCGTCGTTCCTCTGCCGCCTGGGCGTTTGTCCTATTCTTAGCTCATTTTAATTCATTTGATCTCCCATTAATCTTCTGACCTATATCTTGCAAAATATACCACAAACACTTTTCAAAAGCATAAAATAACATAAAAATAAACTAAAACATAACATGAAAAATCACATTTACACTGCACATCAAAATTCCCCCAAACATAGAACTTACTTGCCCTAAATAATCTCATATCTAAAATTAGACTTAATTGAACTATTTAGTATATAATTTGATGAATTCCTAATTCCTTAATTATATCATATAATCTCTTTTGAAAATACAAATATCATTAAAGAAGTGGATTTTCATTAATTCATAAAAGTTTAGCCTTTCTTCAATTATCTCTTTCTCTAGTATAATGAATCCGGAAGCACTTAATTCAGTTTGTCTTAAATAAATTCTTTAATCAAAGATAAATTTAAGTTAGTTAATTTATACCCAAAATTCATTAATCTTCTCTTGAATATAATGCCTGAGAAAGTTATTAAAAAATCGTTTAAAGATTTATAAAACCATAAAAGAATTAGACACCTATATTTTGATTTTTTTTATATGCTTAACCTCAAATGTCTTCTGACTATAATTATTCTATCTTTTAAGATTTAATTCTTTAAAATTTTCTTTTTATTTTTCTCCTTTTCATTTCTTTTTCACCTAGAATTATTATACCTGGTTAAATATGCATTTATTGATTTTGGATGTCTAATCTCCCCTTAATTATATTTTTTGTTTACTTATAAATGTTTATTAAAAAATATTATAATTCATTTTAAACTTGAAGTTTCAGTTTGAATATTTGAGTTGAGAATTATGGACATTAATATCCTGATTAACTAGTTATATACATACTCACTTTCTCAATTGTTTAATACTTTTATGCTAAATACAAGAGCAATTGGAAAAAAAGATGTCAAATTACTATTAAATTAACTTTAAATCCAATTTTTAATTAAATATTTGCTTTACTTTTTAAGCTATTATATAAATATTTTTAAATTTAAGGTTCTATTATGATTTATTACTACACAGTAATGTCTAAAGTATATGTATATAATTCACAATTAGTCAATTACCTTGTATATTTCCGACCCCTCCTCTCCCATTATTTATTTTCTATCCTACATATGTCATATGAGAAATTTCAATAAAAAAAGAAAAATAACATGTGTAAGCAAAGAATTTACAAGACTGAACTCATATATAATAGTAAATTTTCCATATCACTTGATAAATAACAGGATTAGTACTGAAGTAAAAAAAAATAAAGTTAAACAAGAAACATAACATTTCAACACAATTAATCACAGAAATCTCTACATAGTGTGTGCTATGACTTGAAAATATATATACAAGTACATTACCTTGACTAAATTGTGAATAGAAGTCCAGAAAATTTTATTGGATTGTTTTAGTTGAAGAGTCTAGGAGATTAGAATGTATTTTGTCTAGTGGCCGAATGTAATTACAACGGCTTCATCAACACTTCCACTAAAAATCGTCCTGTGAATTTATGAGCAAAACCAAGGAAGCCGATAGATTTTGTACCCTTACTCGTGCATGCATATTCTAAATTTGCTTCATCATTTTGCGGAGCATATGCTTAAGTTGCATTCTGATGTTAAAGTGGAAAATGAAATGAAAATTATGAAATTAAGTGTATGCTCATATGAAGTCACAAGAATATAATAAAAGTAATTACGTGTTCATATTTTTGTTGAATATGCTTCTCACATTGCTCTTTTAATATACTCCATGCCTAATTCCCACTTCTCTCAAAAATACTTAAGAAAGTTTAAACCGAATGAATGTATGATTGTTTAACCTTTCTACATTAATATTTTTCCGTTTTTTAATGTTAAGGATCTATAATACCATGTAGAGGCACTTTAAGCCTCAAAATGTTCCTACGAGTATCCATGCCAGCAATGCCAATTTTAATTTTGTTTATGCCCTCTTCGCCAGTCCTACTTAAGCAAATTTTGTCAGTTAAGGTTATATCTGGTCCTTTCAGCAAAATGTGTTATTTAGCCAATGGAGAGGTCATTAGCGATGACCCATGTGTATATCATTATGAGCATGAACCCATCATGATTTTTACCTTAAGTTTGACTCCCCATGGAGTGCTTCAAACCGCAGGAGTGTTAATGATGGTCACCTGATTCAAATTTATGTTTGGAATTGAAGAAATGATTAATCAAACAATATATATTTTTATTTAGCATTTGTATTTTGAAAATTTTGTATTTTGTTTTATTATGATTATTTGTTATGCTTTTATATTTTTGAATTGCAATTTCTTAAAGTTACTTGACCATAGAACTCTCTCACCATAAATAGGTGTCCATAGGGCTAGTTTGAAGTATTGAATTATTATTGCATAAAATGAGATTTCCTTTTTTTTTTGTCTCCGAACTGCTAGCTTCTTTTGTTCTCTTTTATTATCTCATGCTCCCCTCTTTTCTCTTTACTTTTCTATGTTAACCAATAGAAGGATAAAATATATATCAAAAGCAGGTTGATGTTATTAATATTTGTGATGTATCAAAGATTTGTTGATTTTACTAAAATTTTTTTGATGGATCTGTGATTAGTATTAGGAGTATTTGTGCTAATAAAGAGTTTGAACTACAGTAGTATTCATCAAGGTTAATTATTTCATATCTTTTTGCTTTCACAATAGATTATATTTAATATCAATACAAAATGAAAGTGTAGATGGTTGGTTATCTTTTAAAGATGGCGCAAATTGGAATATTTGAGAAAAAAGTTGAAAAGTGACAGAGTTAGTAAAATATAGTTTGAGAATATCATGGAATGTTACATGCAAATTTTAGTAAAGTTTAAATATATTAGATTTTTTATATGGATTTTAGTCTTGGGCCATAAAGATGTAGCTGATAACTCGGTGGAGTTCAATAAAAATGAGAATGCTAAGATTGATGTCTGATAAAATATGGATGTCTGATAAAATATGGAAGCATAGGATGAGAAATAGATTGATGTCTGATAAAATATGGAAGCATAGGATGAGAAATAATTATAATTTTATATATGATGAGAATTGTAATTTTTAACTACTGAAGAAAATATAGTGGAAGTTTATTGTAGTGATATGGGCATGTACAACTATGGTAGTAGATATGGCAATAAGTTAGGTTTGTACAACTAATGTGGCGTGGTTGGGAAGAAAATAATCTGATAAATTGGTTAGATTTTATGCAAAATGAAATGTAAAAATAGATCCATCACCTAAAGTATCATTCATAAAGTCAAGGGCTAATAGTTGGCTTAAAGAAAAAAAGGAAAAAAACTTAAAGGGCTAATAGGTTGCTCCATGATGATGATGCTTCAGGTTCTTTATTGTGAACATTTCTCTCTTCATTGGCTTTCGATTCTGTGCACTTGTTCACGAAAGCAAAGATTTTGGATAACTCCACCTTCTGGTATAAGCAATCTACCTTCCTCTATTCTTTGTTGTGGATACGGTTAATCAATTTAATGTGATCCTTTAGCATTTAATATTTTATTATTTCTTATTTAGATTATAATTACAAGTCCAATAAATTTTGATAAGATTAGCATTTAATATTTGCCTCTTTTGCATTAAATGCTGTTTTTTAATGCTAATTTGAAAACAATTAGTTTTGCTTTAACTGTATCAACTGAATAAATTATTCACTTTGCAGATATGACTACTCGGGGTATGGGGCTTCGTCCGGTAAGGTACAACTTTCTCTAGTCTTAACACTAGAAAGCGAGGCCCTTAACTGAAATTACAACTTCTCTTGTTTATCATTTTATGAAACTAACTAATTCCAAATCATTAGCGAAAGGCTCTCACAATGTCTTCAATAAATATATTCATGCTACCATTGGAGCTTGGGTTCAAAATTTTTAAAACATTGTTCATATGCAGTAGTGTTTTTTCTATTTGCAATTAGCTCCGATGTTTTTATAATTTTTTATGCTGAGTGGTTCTATATTTTTGTGCTCGTATAAATTCAATAAATATCCTGTATAGTTCTTATGTTCTTTTCTTGACGCCCAGCCAAGTGAGTACAACACTTATGCAGACATAGAAGCGATCTATGAGTGCCTTCAAACTGAATATGGAGTGAACCAGGAAGATCTAATACTGTATGGCCAATCCCTTGGTAGTGGACCCACATTACACTTGGCAGCGCGTTTGCCAAGACTGAGAGGTGTTGTGCTTCATAGTGCAATATTATCCGGCCTCCGGGTTCTATGTCATGTAAATTTCTCATTCTGCATGGATATTTATAAAGTGAGTTTTGGCTTTGGCAACATTTTTCTTAATTCATATACACATAATTCTCTGTTTAAATTGTTATTTTTTTTATGTGCAGAATGTTAACAAGATTAAGAAGGTGAAATGCCCGGTACTTGTAATCCATGTATGTAGCTGGTTGCAAACTTTTTGTTTTTTCTCTGATTCGGTTTCTTTTTATTTTGCACTGCTTTAGATTATTTAAAATAATATATGAAGAAGAACAAAAAACAAGCCTTTATCCTAATAAATGGGGTTGGCTACATAAGTCCTTTTTCTTCATTGCATCCTATTTAGCGTCATATTTTCATTTAATTATAATAAATTTAGATATTTTTTTATACAAAATGCCCAAGTCTTTTTAGGTCTATCTCTACCTTTCTTAACATAACTCGAATCTAAAACATCTAATGTCCAAAGAGGATCATCAGATGATCGGTGTTTAATGTGACCAAGCCATCTAAGACGACTCTCTCTTGTCTTGTCCGTAACTAGAGCTACATCAACCCTATCACAAATATATTCATTTCACATTTTGTCTCGAAGTGTCATGCCTCTCATCCACCTAAACACTCTCATCTCAACAACACCTAACTTTGTTTTATGCTTCTCTTTTAATGACCAACATTCTGCGCCATAGAGCATTGCAGGTCTCACCACAATCCTATAAAATTTTCTTTTCAATCTCAGCGTTACTTTTCTACCACACAATAAGCCTAATTCATCCACTTCAACCAACCAACTTGAATTCTACTAATAACATCCACATTTATATCACCATCACTTTGAGCTATCTTCCTTTGAATGATTTGATCACCTATAGTTACAACTCTGCCATTAGAGCTACTACGACTAAAATTATATTTCATGTATTTAGTTTTAGATCTAAAACGAAGGCCTTTAGACTCGTATGTCGACCTATATTATTTAAGTTCTTCCTGAACTCTTTGTCTAATCTTATTCACAAGAAGGATATCATCAATGAAAAACATACAGCAAGATACATCCTCCTGTAAATGTCTAGTAAGAGCATCAATAACTAAAGCAAAAAGATATGGGCTTAAAGTCGCTTTCTGATGTAATCCAATTGAAATAGGAAAATACTTGGTCAATCCTTTTGTTCGAACATAAGTAATAGCTCTAGTATGCATATCTTTAATGACTTGAATATAAGTCATATCAACACCTTTCTTCTTTAGATCTCTCTCACTTGGAACCTTATCGTAAGCTTTTTTTCTAAACCAATTAAAATCATATGTAGATCCTCCTTATTCTCCCTGTACTCCTCCATCAAACCTCTCAATAAATGTATAACTTCCATTAGTAGACTTGCCTGACATAAATACAAACTAATTTTGAGAAATCATTATATCTCGTCTTAACCTATGTTCAATTTCCCTCTCCTATAATTTTAAAGTATGACACATTAACTTAATTCTTCTATGATTTGCAAGAGTGTGTGCATCCACTTTATTCTTAAGGATGGGGACCAAAATATTCTTCCTCCACTCAGGCATCATTTTAGTTTCTAAAATAATATTAAAGTGTTTAGTAAATCAAGAAACTCCCAAATCTCCCAAATATTTTCACATATCATTTGGGATGTCATCGGATACTGCTAATTTTCCACCATTGTTTTCTTTAAAGCCTCCTCAACTCCCTTTTTTTTCTGATGCAATTGTGAAAAACATTTTTTAATTGTTAACAATATTAAAATCACTAAAGTCAATCATTTGCTTAAAAACTTTATTAAAATAGCTTATCCACCTATGTTGAACATCTTTCTTTAAATCTTTATTTTTCTTTTCTCTTTATTTGGCTTATATATATATATATATATATATATCAGCATATTTATCAGCATATTTAGTATCTAATCAATTATAAATATCATTAAAAGCTGAATTTTTAGATTCCCTATTGACCATCTTATATTTTTCCCAGCTCTCTGAATTTATACATTTAAACCAATTTTTATAACACAAATTTTTATATTTTATCCTTTCTTGCACATTACTATCAAAATAATATATGAACATTAAAACAAAAAAAACTGGTTTATTTCATCACTCATCAGAGAGTAGCTCATTATGGCCAACTGGCACAGATAGCTGTCCACGGAACTGCCAGTAGCCTCCCCACGTTATGGATGTTCTGCTTTTCTTCTGAATTCTGGCATTTGCCTTTTATTATTTACTAAGTATAAACTTCATATTGCTTTCATGGAATGATTATTGGGTGTGGGTGCACACGGTACTTGTATGGTGGCTTCTTAGATGGTTGACATGGTTTCTAAATTCATTTTAGTTGGCTTCCTTGGAATTCAGGATCCGGAAATGCAATTTCAGTTCCCGTTTAATAGATATGTTTAATACATACAGTATCAATTCCCTTCTTGATTCTTAATGACTGTTTCATATAATATTTTATAGATAGCGACATTAACTATATAACTTTGCAAAGCATTGCATATCAATTACATTTTATTTTTATTGCTACATTTTATTAATAATATATTTTCATGGCACTTAGATGTGGGCATATTGGCTATGACATTGTTCTAGAATTCTCAGAACGTGTCTGAGGATCGGATCTAGCAGTAAGGTGTTGTAGAAAGGCAAGAGGAAGAGAATATATAGACTATGTGCAGTTTGGAGGAAAAAAGGATAATGGTGGCTGCTGTCCAAAGGGTAATGAGAACAAAAATGCAGTCAAATGGTGACTTTGGAGAGCGCAAACAACAGGCATATCCACCACCTTCCGAATAAGCTATAGATACATCCCTTGCTTGAGGAAAATGTTAATACACTCTTTTAGAGTTGAAATTAGATAAACAATCTCTAAGTTGTATAAATCAAAGTAAAAGTCCCCCAATAAAAAATTAACAAAATGTTTAAAATATTCTCAAGCAAAATAATTTTAATTCCCTTTCAAATAATATAAAAATGTGGCTCACAAGGGCTAGCAACAGCTAGTAGGCTGGAAAATCACATTCTAGACTTCCACGGGATGGGACTTTGTCCCAATCTCGATCCCGCGGATGTGGGGATCGCAGGGACCACTATCACACCACTCTTTTTGGATAGAAAAGGCTTCGTCTTCTACTCATGACGTATCTGGAACCTCATAGTATGGCGATAAGTTGGTGACTTTAAACATAGCATAAAAAATACAGTCTTTTGGTAGATCAATAATATTGGCATTATTATTAATCCTCGTGGTGATTCTAAATGGACCATCTGTTCTTTGCTTGAACTTCCCAATAGAATATGCTTTAAACTTTTCATTCAACCTAATTCATACCAAACTTCCTTCTTTGAAGACTAGCTTTCCTAGACTTATTAGCTTTTCTTTTATACATTAGCTTTTCTTTTATACTTTGTGTTTTGCTTGATCATTTTTTTTAATTATCTGCTTATGTAGTGCTGATTCTCTCTTCCTCCAACATCTATATCATTGCGCTCAATAATTTATAGTATTTGTATTAATATTAATGGTGTGAAATGGTTTTTCCTGTATACTACCTCAAAAGGGATGTGACTTATGGGCTGCTAGTAGATCGGTGGCAAGCGAACTTAATTTCAGGAACAATCAAATCTGATTGCTTAATATTCTTGCCCATAAAGTACCGGAGGGGATTCCCCAAACTGCTCATAAAATCTATCCTGAGAACAAACCTAAATCTTTTCAAAATCTTCATCAGTGGCATATGCATCCTGCAAACACTTTGAATCCCATTACCATTGATTCAATTGTGGTGATCAATCAAAATCGACGGCTCAGAACATCAGTCACCTTATTTTGATTCCCATTTTTGTGCTTGAGCACAAAATAAATGAAAATGAAATCTACCCACGAGGCATATCTCCAATTTAGCTTATTCTGGCTATCCAAAAATCTCAAGGGCTCTTGATTTGGGTTGTGGGTGAACTTACTAGCAAATAAATAGTGATTCCAAACTAAAATAGGCCATGAGATGTTCTCCTTGACTTAATACTGCTTTGAGTCTTACATTGAATGTATTAAAGTCCACTTCAAACAGTTGACCTAAATCTGAAAGTGCTGGAATATAAGCTGGAGTAACTTGTTCAAAAAATCAAAGCTAGCCAAAGCCTCATTTCATCATGAAAATATACCTGCCTTGAAGAGCTCTATCAAAGGTGTTGTAATAGAATTTAAATTAATAATGAATCTCCTATTAGAAGGAAGTTGGTCCATTAAACTGACGTATCAGAGTAAATGATTTTTAGTTTGGCTAGATCATAATAAGCTTGATCTTAATTGCGTCCATCTTAATGCCAACTGTTGAAACATTACACCCACAAAAGCATGTCTCTGGGGTTGAAAGTGACACTTCTTTGAATGATTGTACAGTTGCTATGTCTGAAGAAGTCAAAAAACATATTATAGGTGCTGCAATTGCTTCTCTGAATGATTATGCACCGTTATTTCATCAAAGTACACAACCATGATTTTTTTGATAAAGGCTCAGAATATCTGGTTTATCAACCTCATAAAAGTGCTTGGGAGCATTATACAAGCCAAATATCATGACTAACTACTCATAACTTATCGCACTTCTTAAAAGTAGTCTTCAACTTTTCTTCGAGGCTTATTTGAATCTAGTAATATCCACTGTGCAGATCTATCTGTTTTTTTAAAAGATAGTTCCATGCAACTTTGGTGTGAGTTGTATTTGAGTGATGAATTACAATTAATCAATAGTTAATTGGACTCTTCTAAGATGATAGAAGATTTGAGGGGGAATACATATGCCAATTGAATAGTGGAGTTAGATATATTGAGGTAGTGGTGATCTAGTAAGAGGATCTTAGATTTTTTTCTGGATTACAATTTTAACTTCAATCCATAGAAACTTTCTCCACATCAAACAAAATATCATGAAATCAAAATGCAGATTGAAGTGGAAGTTATATAATTAGGATTTGGAGTGTTCTATAATATTTAGAGTTTTCTTTGTATTTTTTCTGAAATTAATTTCAAGACTGGTACAACAGAATTAACCTCTAGATAGAATGAGGTAGTGTATTTACAGGAAGTATAACTTTCTACTTAGAACTCCAAATGACTTGACCTTGTATTCAAATGAAAGCTAGTTGAGCTGGG